TGGCGGGTGAGCTGGCCCGCGTCGTTGGTCTCTTCGACCGGGGCCCACTCGAACGGCAACGCCTTCCCGTCTACTACCGCGGTGAGCGGCTTCCAGAGGTTGAACTTGTCGTCGCCGATCGTGTCACGCAACCCCTCCCAGCCCCCGATCGCTTGCAGGCCGTAGTAAGTCACCAACGCCGAGCCGACGATCAGCACGACCGTTTGCAAGGTCTCGGTATAGGCGACCGCGCGGAAGCCGCCGAGCGTCGTGTAAACACCCGTCAGCACCAGCACAATCAGCGAGCCGATCCAGAAACTGTTGAGTGGTCCGATCGTGAGTTCGGGCAGCAGCACCGAGAAGACAATGCCACCGGCGTAGATGCCCACGGCGATCTTTGTGACGACGTACGCCACGAGCGAAATGATGCTCAGCGTGTACCGCGCCGCGGGCGAGAACCGTCGCTCGAGGAACTCCGGCATCGTGAACACCCGGCTCCGGGCGTAGAACGGAACCAGGATCCATCCGAGCACCAGCAGGCACCAGGCGTGCAGCTCGTAATGCGCCATCGCGACGCCGTCGGTCGCGCCCGAACCGGCGAGGCCCACGAGATGCTCCGAGCCGATGTTCGACGCGAAGATCGACGCCCCGACGATGAACCAGCCGAGGCTATGACCGGCGAGGAAGTAATCCTCAGACGTATCGTTCTTCTGGCGGATGACCCACCAAGCGAGTCCCAGGATAATGGCGAAGTAGCCGCCAATGACGGCCCAGTCGAGCGTTTCCACGAACGGCGATCCGAGAGGCAGAGGAGTGTCGGGACAGAAAAGTAACAATGGTTTAGAAAAACCACTGATGGAGGAGATTAACCTCCAGCCCCTGCCGTCAGCAACCCGGAGCGCGCGTTAATCTCAGCCTTCGCTCTCGTCCTCTTCCTCGTCGTCCTCGATCTCGACCTCCTCGTTATCGGCGATCTGCTCCGCCACCGGTTCAACGGAGACGTCGACAAGGAAGGTGCCGCAGAGCAGATTGCGCCCGATGAGGAGCGGATACTTCATATGCGAACGGTCGTTGAGCGTGACATGAACGCGCCGCTCGACGTCCCCGTAACTCAGCGTCAACCAGACTTTGTAGCGACGCTGGATGGCGTCGGAGTTGGTGGTCTTCACCCGGACGGTGTCGGCGATGGTGGTTGTCACCCGCTTCTTCTTGCCGTCGGTCGATTCCAGCTCGAAGGAGATTTTCTTGCCGATGTTCTTGATCATCGACTTCTTGTTGGCGTCTTCGATCTTGACCTTGGTGGCGTGGATCGAGCACGTCTTGGCACCCGTATCGACGCGGGCCCGATAGCTAAATCCCGATTCCTTCTCGGTAAACTTGGCGACCGGACCGAGGACGACCTTATTCTCCGCCTCCGGACAGTCCTCCGGCGCCGGCGGGTCCGGTGGCACGGATTCGTCCACTTCTTCCGTTATTACCGCTTCTTGCGCCCAAGCCGGCGCCATGGTCGACGTGAACACGCAAGTCGGCACGACAGCGAAGCAGAGGAGCCAGCGGGACCAATTCAGGCAGGTTAGGTAGCTCAGCATCGGGATTCGGATCACGTGGATCAGGCGCCCAGGGTGGGCTTGGAAAATCGGGGCGATACGGAAGAATAGCAAGCTGTCGGTAGTTCAGGGGGGCTATTTCCGAGCTATAGTCTACGCGAACACCGCCAGTTTAGTTCCCTTGCGACGGATTGCAGGCTGCCTAAACGGCATGTTTCTGCGACACGACACACTCCCTATGACTCCCCCTTCCGACCGTGAGCAGTCGCTCGCTTAGCCAAATCGGGCTGGTTTCCCTCCTCGTTATCGGCGGGGCGTGGGTGGCGATGCGGCATTCCGCCCGCATTGCCGACCGCACCGCCCTTGAGGACAGCCGTTGGCGCTTGACGTACGACGTCAAGTTCAAGGCGACCGGTTCGCGCACCGAGGTCCGCCTGGCGCTGCCCCTGGGCAGCGACCACATCCGGATCGAGGAAGAGAACGCCACCAACCCTAAGCTCACCGAAGACACCCGTCGTTTGGTGCCGAGCGGGACTCGGGAGTTGGTCGTCGCCACCAACCAGCTCGGTGACTATCAAGTAACCTCCGAGTTCGTCCTACGACTCCGTCCACGGGGGGGATTCGGCGAAACGCCGCTGGCAGGCCTCTCTGGCGATGTCCGCGCCCGGTACACCGCCGAAGTCCGGACGATTTTCCCCACCCGCAACTCGGACGTGCAGGCCCTGCTGAATCAGGCGAAGGAAGTGAGCGGCGAGTCCCGCGGCGCCATTCTTCAATGGATCTTCGAGCACTGCTCACGGGACCTGAAACCGGCCCCGGCAAACGCTAACGACACCGTCCTCGGCGCCCTTCGCGATCAAACGGCGACACCGCTGGGCCGTGCCCGCTTGATGGTGACGCTCTGCCGCGCCGCTGATTTCCCTGCGCGACTCGTTACTGGCTTTGAGCTGCGCCAGCAGGATCAGCTAACCCCTCACACCTGGGTCGAGGTCTTCAGTGAAGGCGTTTGGTTGCCGTTCGACCCGGTCTACGGACATGCCCGACGGATGCCAAACGAGTTCGTGGCCGCCCGCCGCGATGGCGAACAGATCGTCCGCACGCCCCGGGCCGCCATGGCCGAAGCGATCGAGACGAAGTATTCGATTGTGCGACTTGGCCCCTCCAACGCCGTCATCAACCGCGCCAAGCCTCGACCCTCTCAGGTCTTCAATCTCACTCGCCTGCCAGTCGAGATGCACGAGGTCCTGAAGCTGCTTCTCCTGCTGCCGTTCGGGGCGTTGATCACCGCTTTTTTTCGTAACATTGTCGGCATCCCAACCTTCGGGACGTTCGCGCCAGCGCTGTTCGCCGTCAGCTTCATTTATGCCGACTGGGGGTCAGGACTGATGATCCTAGCGGTCGTCTTCGCCGCTGGGCTTATCGGCCGAGCAATTGTCGGCAGGCTTCAATTGCTGATGGTGCCACGGCTCAGCATCATCCTGACCGTCATCATCCTGTGCGTGGTCTTTGGCGTGTCGGCGCTCGACTACCTCAATCTAACCCCCAGCGCCAACGCCGTGCTGTTGCCGCTGGTGATCGTGACGGTGCTGATCGAACGCTTCTACGTAACCACCGAAGAAGATGGCATCGGCTACTCCTTGCAGCTCATCGCGGGCACAATCGCCGTTGGCGCCGTGTGTTTCACGATCCTCAGCTGGAAGGAAGTCGGGGACCTGATCCTCGTCTACCCCGAGATCCACCTAATCACCGTCGCCCTGTTCATCGCCATCGGTCGTTACGCCGGCTACCGGATCGTCGAGCTCTGGCGGTTCCGCGATCTGGTGAAGGCCCAGGACGCTTGATCCCTCTCCCCCCTCCGAGCCGATAGCGATGCCGCGCTGGTTTGCCTGGCCGAGCGAGCTGAAAGAGAGCGGGATCCTTGGGATCAACCGCCGCAACCTCTCGTACATCCTCGAGTCGAACCCCCGCCGGCTTTACCCGCGGGTCGACAACAAGCTGATCACCAAGTCGATCTGCGAGGCGAACGGGATTCCCGTTCCCGAGACTTACGGCGTTTTCAGCTCGCATGGGCAGGTCCGCAACTTCCCGGCGTTGGTCCAGGAACAGAACGACTTCGTTATCAAGCCGGCTTGCGGCGCCGCGGGCCGTGGCGTGATGGTCATCGCCGAACACGTCGGTGACATTTACGTGACCCCCAGCGGACGCGGCCTGCGGTGGAGCGAGGTCCGCTACCACCTCTCGACCGTCATTTCTGGCCTGCACTCGCTCGGCGGACAGATGGACAAAGCGATTGTCGAGCGGCGGATCGTGACCCATCCCGCCCTCGACGCCGTCTCGGTTGGCGGCACGCCCGACTGCCGTGTGATCCTTTACCGTGGCATCCCCGTCATGGCGATGCTCCGCCTGCCAACACACGCCTCCGGCGGCCGAGCCAACCTCCACCAGGGCGCCATCGCCGCGGCGATCGACCTCGTGACTGGCCGCACCTACGGCGGTGTCTGCAACAATCGCGTCTACGACGAACACCCGGACACCCACCAACCGATCGCCGGCATCGGCCTGCCCGACTGGAAACGGCTGCTCGAGTCCTCCATGAAACTCTCCGACGCCCTGGAGATGGGCTACATCGGAGTGGACTTCGTGATCGACGCCGAAAAGGGACCTGTCGTCCTCGAAGCCAACGCCCGCCCGGGCCTGGCAATCCAGGTCGCCAACCGAACCGGCATCCGCCCGCGACTCGAAAAGATCCGCAGCGTGCCAGAGAGCCGCCTGAAGGGCGAATCACGTTGGAAGCTGATCGAAGAGGTCTCTAACATCGGCCTCTAGGCTGCCGCAGCGCGGGGGACGACGTATGGTTGCGATGGTTCGAGCCTTCGTCTGAACCTTCGATCGCCCCTTCGGGTAGCCGCCATGAACGCACCAACGCCGTTAAACGCCCCCCCGACACTTCTCGCCGCGGCGCCCTCAAGCCACCCTGCTCCGCCGAGCTCAAGAGCCTCGGCATCGACCAACGCAGCGGCGGCAGCGATTGCCCGCTCAGAAGCCCTCGCCGCGTCGCGGCAATCGCCTGCCAAACTGGCTCCGCTTCCCACGGCGCCTGCCGCGGGACCTAAACCCACGGCGTCGGTTCCAGCTGCGCCCGCTCCTGGGGAGGCGCTGGCCGAGCACCCGTGGCGAACGTTCTTCTCTGAATGGCCGAGTCAGATTCCCAAACGGGGCATTCTAATCACGAAGCTCAACGAGGCCTCGCCATTCAAGGCTTTCATGATGCGCGGCGACTTCTTGCTGCTTGAGCGGGTGAGCCCGGACTCGCTCGGTGGACGATTCATCGTCATCCCGTTTGAAGAGATCTCGACGGTGAAGTTCACCGACCCGCTGAAACAGCCGGCCCTCGAAGCCGCGGGCTTCGCGGGGCAGCTCTCGCAGTAGAAACGAGGCAGAGTGAACCACGATGGGCGCCGGGGGCACGAGCCTCTCGTGACAGCAAGTCGGGAGCGGGCAATGCCGATGCCTATAGCAGCTCCCACGATAGAACGTCTGAGCCGTGGGCGCTAGCCGTCAGAGGGGAGGGCGACTGGGTGCTGCATTCCAAGGGACAACGCCCACGGTTCAGAAGCTACGGCTACGCGAACCCCACTCTAGAACTTCAGCTCGCCGATGATGCACTTCTGATCGGCTATCATGGCGCGCTTGAGCGTTGGATAGACGCGCGAACCTATCACTACCACCGCGATTTCAGCAACGGCCTCGTCGCCATA